TGCTCAGAAAAAGGATCAACATGCTCTGAAGTCAGAGCACAAAAACCTTTTTGTAACAAAATATCGATTTCTGCTGTCCCTGTATCCATACATTATTAGCAAACAAAATATCACCATGCTACACAGTATCGACTTTTCCCCCCACTCCTAATAACGAGCCTATCTAAATCCCAGTAACGATTAACGCGTTCCTGATTTTGGCATAATAACTAGTTACCAATTCAATTCAATTCAATTCAATTTTATTTATATAGCGCCAAATCACAACAAATGTCGCCTCAAGGCGCTTCATAGATACAGAGAAAACAAACCGTGCTCGTTACCACAATAATAACGTAGTTACTGTAATGCGTTACTTAATAATGCGTTAGTCCCTACACTGGTCATTTCTCTGTCTGACAAAACTCCTCTCACTCACTTTCTCTGTGTGACTCAAGAGCGCCCCCCACGGGAGGAACATGAATATTCCAGCACGCTGAAGACATGAACACAGCATCAGCACACAGAAAAACACTGTGTGCTGATTAAAAGTTAATTAATAATAAAAAATAAATACATTTTTATTTATATAGCACCTTTCAAGACAGAATCACAAAGTGCTGCACATAAGATTACAAGTCATAAAAAGATTTAAAAAGAGAAAATAAAACAGGCAAAAAATTAACCAAAAGCAGTTTTGGTTAATTAATAGAACTAAGATATCAAAACGATGTTTAAAAAGGTCCCTGCTGTGCCTCATGTGGTGCTACATGTTCATGTGGCTGTTTCGATTATTCCAAAGTTCTGTATTGAAGACAAATACTACCCCGAAAAAGTAAGTCCATTACTTACAAAAGGGATTCATGTGATTGCTTTCAAAATCATAGGAACATGAAGGAATTACAGTTGTCAGAACATATATATCTATAAAATATGGCAATAGTGTTATCACGGTCTTCTATAAGTTTGTTCTGATAATTATCTTGTTCTGTTCTGTAATCCTAAATAATTATATTATAGTCTTTGTATGATTAATATATTATTCAGTGTATAAAAGTGACACATCATTTAAAAAACAAAACAACCCAAAACCTGACATGAGGACATTTCCCTCGTGTCTCGGTCCATTGCTCCCTCCTCATAGGTTCGTTTTCAATTTTTTTTCATTTTTTCATTTTTTGTGTCAGCCTACTAAGCGGCTAGTCTTTGATTAAATTTACACTGCCTCAAAGCCTCTGCATTTGGGGCATCACAACCCTCACACTTCACACGTATGACATGCCCCTGTAGGAGTTTAGAGGTGTTTAGGACTTTGTTCTTTATTGTGATTTTGTTGAGGCATAGAAATCTATCTTTGTCTCTTTTCAACAAAGAAAAAACATCAGCAATAGGAGAGGAAAGGGGCGGATTATACTGGAAGCAAGAGAGTGAGTGAAATATTTCTCCATAGCTGTTCATTTGGGTTCAGTTAAGTTGTAGAGACGACTAGTGGGCGAAGGGCAACTGGAGAGATCTATGGAGAAATGATTAGGTAGGTGAGGAAGGGGCGAGATCTTTACTGAATACCTGAGTTGGGTTAGTTAGGTTAAAGTATCATCATAACCACCTTTGAAACTTCTTTGGAAAAGACCATTGTCACCAGTAATATAACATTTCTTCACAGCATGCAGAGCAATGGGAACTGGGATGATGCTGAGTTCCTGGGCCACCTCAACAGTAGAGGAAGTGATGTCAGCAATGACTACCTCACTGGGCAGCGGTGGTGTCCTCTGGCTGCAGCTCTACATCTATAAAGACAG